TACAGTAGTAGCAAATGACTAGACTGGCACTTTCCAATTTTATTAATATGGAAATTTTTCTTCTTGCTTTCACTAAGGCAAAATTGTACATTGGTTGTTTCAAGTCTAAATATTTGGTTGCATATTCATACCCTATTGAAAGCCATTCCAACCAGTCTTACATTAGCCATGGTTAATCTCATATAGGTTTCAATCAATTTGGGTTTGAAAAGCATTCTCTCTCCATTAACAATATTCACAGATATAATCACAACTTTTGTATGAAAACTGCATTTTTGTTTTTGTGAGCAACTCTACTATACTTACAAAGATTTCAAACGAGTTCCCTTGCACCCACTATTGGTTGTGTAAAAAGTCCTTATCTAGCAGACTCATGCAGATTAATCTCATACAGCAAATCTTGTTACATCACAAGAATAGTCACAGATTTGAAACTCTGCATTTAGACATCAATTGCATGTACTTGGAATATGATTTTTTTGTTCACTGATGACAGCTGGTTTCATACTGCATGCAACATTAATTCTACTTTCCCATTTCTTGTCATTCAATGGCTTCTCAATCAATATTAGTAAAATGTTGTAACAATACATTCCAGTATGAATATAAAAAAGTTAAAAATTTTCACAGCCTCAATGCAGCAGTTGGCTGCATTATTCAATACGAAATTCAGAGTTGTGCAGTGTAGAGTACAAAAATGTTTTGGAATTTAAGTCAAATTTCTTTTTTTGAAGTTTGAAGACCACAGTTCTTGCTTTTCATCTTGGGTCTAATCTCATACTCTCGAGCTTATACATATTCCCTAAGCAGCATAATTTCTTCAAGTATGTTCAAAACATCTTCTTTCCAAGCCAAAAATAAATTTAAAATGTTCATTGATAATGACCTTATCATCTTCAAGTGTAGATAACTAAGCAGTTGAAACAAACCAGTTACAGATTTCCTATGGCAGCTGTTTAATTCATATTCAGTAGAGATTTTAATTATTTCTACTGCTGAAATACACTTCAGGTAACCTGCTAATTTCATGTCAACTTAAAAAGTGCTGAACAATTTTTTCAGTCCTTTATTCAATTTGTTAATACTTCAGACTTAGCTGAGCCAAAAGTCTTGCAGCATAAACAAAATGCTGAATCATCTGTAACCATATTCACAAAGCCATTGTTTTTTTGTACCTCCTGCATTAACAAATTTGTCCTTTGCAATAAATTATTGTAAACTTGTTAGCCTTTAATTTCTTTTTGAAGACTATTGTTCTTACTTTTTATCTCTTCCCCCACTGTCAAACTTTTGGCCTCATAATTTTATCAAGTATTCCTAAAACATCTTTGGTTATGCTGGTTACATGTTGACATGAAGTTGGATCATTAGAATAT